GTGATTTGCAGCGCATTCCCGGTAGCCGCAAATTTACAACATCACGCAAACGGGATACGGGCAAGAGTATCGTAAATTGCCGCTTTGTCGCGTGCAGCAAGTGGGCTCGTCCCCAATTTGCACTACCCTTTCGACTGGAGCATCGGATTTCATGTAGACAAGGACATGGTAGACACTTATGTCTATTTTTGGTCATACATTGTCTATTCTCGACCAATACCACCTAAAATCGTCGTCATTAGCAGGCGCGACGTCGCACGCGACGCCCACTGGCGCGGCGAATTACGATTCCTCTTGCCACATACCCCACCCGTTGTATAAGGGACGTTAAACGTGGGACCACTTGTGCCATAGCAGTATCAAGACTGAGAGTGCGTTCATACATCGCGTCAGCGTTTCGAATGAACGGCAGCGTTTTGAACGACTAAGAAGACATGCACATCGATCAAGCGTTTGAGCTTTTCGCGGGCTGCCGCCCAAAACGCTGACGCAAAAGTATAAGAACAGCCCGACTTGGTGGCTGGAGCTATTCTCCCCAACAAGCACTCGGTGTGATCAATTATAACCAACTTTGAGACCTATTTAAATTTCACGCATAAATTCCTGACTAAAAAATATAAACGCTGTGAAAGTGGTCTAGTGTGCAAAACGACTACCTACCACTAAATCCACGTCTCCGTGTTGTGTAATGGAAAAGTGAATATGACGATCGTTCAAATCGTATGATAAATCCCGATAGACAGGACCATTCATCAATACAACTTAAAGGCAATGTGATTGCACTACTATTCGCTGAGAGGGAGAAAATACTTGCAGACTTTTCGAACTACTGAGAACACAAGGCGGAAATGTCAACAAGTTTATCAAGGAGTTGTATTTCAACATAGCCAATTGTACCAAAATGTTAATCTTTCGGAAAAACGATATAACAACTGGAGACAGAGACGCTTATAAAGAACTAGTCATCAAAATCAAAACGGGGCAGTGCTTTCTTCGATTCGGACTTTTCCGTCATACTGCGCTCACGTTCACTTTCCAACTCGATTCTAAAAAAGAAAGGAATATCGTCACATTTTAATGTAAATAGAATTACTGCACCACATAATTGTAATATTAATTAATAATAAATAATAATAATATCATATAATAATCATATATTTCATTTTACTTAAAACTCGTGAAGACGCCTTCACATGACGGGATACGGGATGTGAGCGAAAGGACGCCGTCTATCCTCACATAACCGCACAACTACGCTACCGCGAGAGGCCTGAGCACCACCGTAGTTGGGAGGGGCCCACTCGCGATGCCTCTCACTATAAATCCGTTCCTCTGCGCACACTCCACTCACTAAAACAGTGGCCTGTTGAAGTCGGGTAACCCTCGCTGCCGTAGGGCCTAGTATAGTCATATCTACCCGCTTTTTTCAACCAAATACTGACGGGAACATTTAAGTTGGGCAGAGACTAGAAACCACATGACAGGCGCGACAGCATAATGGTGCGCCCCGTTTTAACAGGTGGAACATACAGTACATGCGACGCCGCTTGTAACATCGCTTTCGCCCGCGGCGCCGCAACTCAGATCTCTTGACCGGCACCTTCAGCCGGAGGACCCGTTTCGTAGCAGCGGCTCCTATCTGTGCCACGGGGCAATTGGCGCGATGTTTTTTTTTTGATTCGCACTGGTGTCGACCATTAGCCATTTACTGGCGCCGGAAGACGGTTAAAGGCGCGATCGTAATTCGCCGCACCGCACGGCGCAAGGATGATAGGTGCGCCGGCGTTTTCATAACTCGTTTTAACCTGTCGAATAAAGCACCGGACTTCATGTAGACCCCGTCATCGTAGACACTCATTACTGTTTTCGGTCCTTAATTGCATGTTGTCGCCATCTACTGCCTGAAACCATCGTCCTTTGCGGGCGGGACGTCGCATGCGACGCCCAGCAGCCGCGGAAATTACGATCCACTTGTCACATACCCTACTGTCGCAATGTCGCACGCGACGCCCACCAGCGCAGCGATTCCACTGCCCCGTCTGGTCACATACAGTGCAGTTCTCAGCGGACGGTGGGGCGGTCCTAAGGCCACGCTGGCGAGCGGCCCGATAGTTGCCTGTCGGTGGATGGCCGCAAAAACCTTGCCTCTGCGTCTCTTACTCTGCACTCTGCGCTCTAACACACGCCGCCGCACCGTCTACAGTCTCTTCCGCTCTAGGCTCTTACCGATCGATAATTGCTCTCGATCAGCTGATTCCTGCCGTATTTTCGCAGTATTTTTGCTAGATTCAGCTTGTTAAAGCTGAAATTTTTCGACTTTTGACTTCAATGTTCGAAGGTGAGTATTCTTACTGAAATTATATCACATTTTGCATGAATTTAGCATTAAATTGGGAAAGAAAAAAAATTGAAATTGGGGGAGTTTTAGCATGGCGGAAGCAAACCATTAACGGCGCAATTTCGAGCTTCAAAAAAGTGTCAGAGATGGTTCTCGATAATAACGAGATCACATCTGAGACACTATCTTGAAAACTCGGTCAATATCATAAGTTAAATGGGGATATTAAGGAAAAGTTCGGAGAAATTGCGAAAATCAGAAAGAAAACAAGTTTCCTAGGGCAATTTCATGCTAAATTCATGCAAAATGTGGAATAATTCCAGTAAGGATACTCACCTTCGAATACTGAGGTCAAAAGTCGAAAAATTTCAGCTTTAACAAGCTGAATCTAGCAAAAATACTGCGAAAATGCGGCAGGAATCAGCTGATCGAGAGCGTCAGCAATTATCGATCGGTAAGAGTCCAGAGCGGAAGAGTGGGTAGACGGTGCCGCGGCGTGTGTTAGAGCGCAGAGTGCAGAGTAAGAGACGGAGAGGCAATGATGATAATCTCCTGAAAGTTTTCGGTTTCCCATCGACACGCAATCACCGGAACGCTCGCCAGCGTGGTCGTAGGGAACGCCCCACCGTCCGGTGAGCGCTCAACTTCCCCTTTTCAGTCAAAGACTAAATAGGAAATGCAGCTCTAGGTTGCCCAACCCTAATAAACCCTGGCCCAATCCCATTCATTATGATTTCTTGGAATGTTGTCAGACTTCGTTTTTCCTATGGATCAACATCCTCACGAAATGCCAAGAAACAATAACTTCGTAAAACTAAATAGAAAATACAGAAGATGGAATTACCGTCGCTTTCGTGCCTCGGCTGGGGTCAACATACGCCCTTCACCAGTTTCTTCATTTACCGTCCATAACATCATATCACTCATCGTGACACCAATCACTTTCCATCCAATGAAAAACATTACAAAGGCGATGATAATTCGTCGGTTTGCGTACTAAATAAAACCGAATTTGTTTGCAGAACTGTGCAGTACCAGAAGCCCTTGAATCGCGTTCATACTTCCGCACAATATGGTGATCGCGCGATTTCCACCTAATGTGTTCTACCGCTAATCGTTGGACCACTGCAACTTTCAATCCCGTCCCGTTCAGAACACGGCAGTCCGACAATTAGTGGCGGGCGCCAACGGTAGCAGCAATTTGCTAATCTCACCATTCCCGAATCCAAAGGCAGTCGAACTCATGTCGCGAAGTATGAACGCGACTCAGCGATTGAATTAACGCACCTGCTGATATGTAATTTTCGTGCGAGGAGCTATACTCCGAATCTTCTGCCTCCAAATGCGCCTCCATTCCCAATAAAGCATGGCAAAAATTATGTTCGAGAGAATAAGAATGTAACACTTCTGGTCAGATCAACGTAACCAGTGTACAGAACGAAGTAACAATCTAATAACAAGTGTAACAAAGATGCCTACTAATCCAGAGTTCTCTAATCAATCAGTAAACAATTTTCGCCTGTTGAGTAGGCAATAATCCAAAGCGTCTCTTGATGATCACACGATATTTACTGTACTTGTCCTCAGGAGAGAAACGAGCTGGATGTGCAGACACAGTTTCTGTTCCGTCCGGAGCAGTCTTCTGAAACTACATTTTATATATAGACAGCAAAATGCACTCGAAAGAATCAGCCGACCAATTACTCAATTGTTAACTGCGATATCTATTGATGGCAAGGACAGCCTGAGCAGTCAGGAGGCAGATTTTTCGATGTTCTTCCCTCCACGTATTAAATGAGCAGAGAAGGAGAATTATGGTTTTGCTCGGCTTCCGTTTAAGGGCAGAAAGCTGAGCTTTCCACCCTCCTCAATATTTCTAGAATAATCATTTTTTCGTCAATTTCCCAACATAGTAAATGGATTCCCATTTTCAATGATTTCTCTTTCTGTATGTATTCTTTAGAACAAGAGGTTCAATCCCTACAAGACCAAAAAATTTCTTGCAAGAATGATGTTTATATGAGCGACAGGTTCGGTCCTACAAATCGGCAGGTGAAAAACCCGGTCACAGCAAAGGAAAGCACTTCCTAATCGATTTCAAAAAATAAAGAATGATAGCAAGGTTTGATTGGGGGAGAGGGCAAAGGGCAACCTGTGCTCCACGTTCGATCAATGTTTCATGCCAGGGCACATCGTTGGTTGGGGAATCCCCAACAGGGGGGTCGTATTTGGCCGCCAGGAGAGGGGGGTCGTAATGAGTGCGGTAGCCAGTAACGAGCAGCGCAAAGGTGTCAGTGTGCTGAGTGTAGCGAAACTTGCTTTGTAGAGAACTCGGATATGTAAAAAAATAGTACAAAACTTTCATTCATCAAACTAATCCGAAATAACTGGAAATATTAATAAGTCGACATCATCTCGTAAGTGACTAAACAGTACAACTCATACTCTGGTTCGCTGCGGATGATGGGGCGCGTCCGCGATCGCGCTT